AAGGAGAAGGAGGAGAGGAAAGAAGGGTTCTCAAGGCGGCGATAGCGTGTGGGGGAAAAAGAGGAGCAGCGCGGCGCCTCCGCGCGGCCCGTCCCCTACTGAGGCGTTCAAGAAGCACTCAGGGTGGGTTCCCTCGGTTCAGTACAAAAGGGAAGGGTAAATTGGAGATTCTGTTCGATTTGGTTTTGCATTAAAAAAAATATGTAAATCATTGGTTATCTGGTTCGATTTTATACGGTTTTTATTTCAGTTTTTTCAGTTTATAAAAGTATAAATTTGTAAGCATCAAAAAATTATAAAAACATTAATTCGATGAAACAATAACAATATGTAGTGTTAGCTTTGGTTTTTTGTTTGATTTTTGCACACACAAAAACCAAACCGAAGGTTATTGTTCCTTTTAGTTCAATTTTACATAAAAAAAAATATGTGTTGAGTACGGATATGTAGCGGGAATGGAAAAAACCTAAATTGGGTAATCGATAACCTGAAAGTGGAGAAAGGGAATGATTTTTTTTAACAAACAACAATAAAGGGAATCAGGGAATCCCATTCCGTTTCCCGATTCCCTTACCTCCTAACCAAACGCCCCCTAAATAGTATTGAAACATACTAGAGTATGTCTTTTTTTCAATGTAGTTTTTAAATCTGTTTATTCCATAAATAGTACTTAACAATAGACACTGATTAAAAACAATGCCTAGTGACAGTGGACATTAGACAATGGTGGATGTGGACATTGAACATTGGTAGCTGATGGTGCAAATTACCACGCAAATGCTAAGCATAAGTAATCGGGAGGGCTGTAGGTGGAAACACCTGTAACCCGGCTTGTTATTAATGATAATAGGAACTATTACAATCAGTACAGGCCGTGTGGATTAATTAAAGCATGCCTCACAAATGAGGCTTTTAGGGATATTTATAATAATCGTAAGCACGTCAAGCACGTCTCTGATTATCCAGCCGGTCAGTGGACTGATCGGTTCCCTAGGCACACTTCTGCTAGAATCTGTATCTCTGCCTTGCCAACCTGTCCCTCCTGACCGGTGAGACAAACTGGGCTGAAAAGGTCGTGAGTTGTCATTCATGGTACCACCCAGTCAGTCAGACCTACCGGGCGGTATCCATGGGTTATTACCCATCAATAGTGCTGAACATTGAACAATGGTAGCGGTAGACATTGAAAAGTTGCACGGGTGGATATTAAATAATGATACTAATTAGATAAATTAAAGAAATATTTGCATTAAATAGTACTTAATAATGTTCATAATGTCTAGTAATAGCGAACATTTACTTAAATAATGACTAATGGATAATGACTAAAAGTGTTACTTTGGGAAAAACACATATGATGCTATTTAGGAAAAAAGTTATTATGTTTTAGTGTTATTTACGTAAATCTACCTAAATTAAAACACATAGCATATTAGCATTACATTAAAAAACTTACTATATTTTAATACTAAATATATAAATTTACCAAAAGTGACATTCATATATATACTCATGGGAGAGTTAACAAGTTTTTTTTTTGCAAAGGTAAACTTAATTACTTGTGCTCCGTAACATATCGTCCATGATTACATTGACAATGCTCCGTTCGTAAAATTGACGATTCATACCCTCCCTAACCCACCCCCTAAACCCCCCACCCCAACCCCACTCCAACCCCATCGTAAGCTCCCCACAAAATGTGTGGCTATTATGCATTGCATGTGAGAACTCATAAGGAAGAATCAGTGTTAAATCTTCAAGGCCAATAACTAATACTCCGTAATTAATTGAAATAATATGCTCGTTTTTGTCACATATTATAACGATAATAATTACTCCCTAAATTTATTCTTGGTTTAAAAAACTATTCTTGGTCTATTCATCACGAGTTGGAATATTTTGTAATTTTTTAGCTTTTGCATGAAAATGTCAACCAAAAAACTCTTTTTTAAAAAAACTCACTTTTTCTTAAAATAGACTTTTGGGATTGCGGCGATGTACAATGCTTCTCTAAATTTATTTTTAATTTAATTTATATAAAAATTGTTATAAAATTAAAAAATTAAACTATATATTTATATTGAATTGTGTTATAAATTAAATATTAATAGATTTACGGAGAAAATGCATCGCAGCCCCCCTATGGTTTCAAAAAGGAGCTCCAACACCTCTCGTGGTTTTAAAAGTAACTTGTAATATCCCTCTGGTTTGTAAAGGGTGCACATGCACCCCATCTGATCAGAATTGGTTGTTATTCGATACGCACCCCATCTGTCACCGTGGAACATTTGATTCCTAATGTTTTCTCAATCCAATCTTACATCAACACTTATTCGGACATCATAATGCCGATTCCCGATGAGGCCGAATGACCTACTCCATTTCATTAAATGATAAACCCTAGTTTATGTTTCGAATAATTATTTAAGGAAATGGAGTAGCGAACTCCGTCCCACTATTATTTTTTTAAAATCAATTTTTTCTTAATTTCTCAACTTCGTTCCTATATTATTTTTTTAAATCAATTTTTTTCTTTATTTCTCATAATTGAATTACAAAAAGATATTATAAAAACTAGCAAATTAATTACATATAATGAAACAAACAATCTACTAAGAGTAAAATTCATAAATAAAATAATTATTTATTGACTTTAAATAATGCACCATACACCAAAATTAAAATAAGAAGTAAATCACAACAAATTTATTGATAGAATATATATAATTTATTCATTTATAAAAATAAGGTTACAAAACACATGTCATAACTAATTTATTTTGTGAAATTCATCAAACATAAACTTAGACATAATTGAAACTCATGATATAGCTATTGTTCATTGCGGCATCGCCATGGTCGGTAGTCCATGTTATTCGGATAACGAGTTCTTGTAGGTTGATCGGTTTGTGTCCTTGCTCGTGCAGTTGGTCTCACTATCTCGTATCCTGGAATAGGCCATTCGGCCTCATCGGGAAGCGGCATTATGATGTCCGGATAAGTGTTGATGTAGGATTGGATTAAAAAAACATTAGGAATCAAATGATCCACGGTGACACTACACAGATCGAGTGCGTATCGAATAACAGCCAATTCTCATCAGATGGGGTGCATGTGCACCCTTTACAAACCAGAGGTATTTTATAAATTACTTTTAAAACCACGAGGGGTGTTGGAGCTCCTTATTGAAATATTTCATATTTCAATTCATAAATAAAGTAATTTCTCAAAAAAATATGATGTAATATGTTATTTTTTTGAAGTGAAACAATATATTTGAGACTAGAAAGAGTACAAAATTTAATTTGGAGCCTCAAGAAAAAAATAGAGGTACCGGCGTTGATGAAAACTTCAGGGAAGGAGGTGAGGAAGCCACGGGAGGACGCCGGAGAGACCTCGGCGGTGTAAACGGGAGCAATCATGAGCGCGTACCCCACTCCGACACCGGCGACGAAGCGGCCCGCCAACAGGAAAGCGTAGTTGGTGGCGAAACCCATGAGGATGGCACCCACGAAGAAGATCACGGAGGCGACCACCATGGTGTACCGGCGGCCAATCCAGTCGGAGGTCCTCCCGGCCGCGGCGGAACCAACCAGAGAGAACACGTTCAGTATCCCGGCGAGGATCTCCACTTGGACGTCCGTTATCTCAAGGTCATCTTTGATGTACATGACTGCTCCACTCATCACCCCAATATCTGCATTTAACAAATCAATTCAAACTTATAATTTCAAAACACAGAACTATATAGATTTTACACTATAACTAAATGGTTTTTTTTCTTTAGATTAAAAAAATGTCAAACTGTTAATAATTTTTTGGGAAAAATCGATCACCATAGCCAAGCAAGATGGAAGCGAGTGAAGCTAAAAGAGAGCAGGCCAGGGCATATTTGTTTCTTGGGGGTTTCTCCGCCGGATCAAACGCCGGAATGTGGCCGGTAACGTTAATGGCTTCTTCTTTTCCGTTAGTCATGGTGGCCGGAAATTAATTTAATACTAGCTGAATCAGTAGTGCTGACTGGTGAGAGATATAAGAGTTAGAAGACAGCATATATGAGGCGCATAGAGGGTCAGGGCGTGTAAGGAATGTTTGGGTTTATCTGTTTTTTTTTTTTACTTTTCTTCCTCTCTTTTTTAAAGACAAAATTACCCTCTAACATTTTCTAAGTTTGCTTTGAACAATAACCTCGAAGAAGATAAAAAAAATGTTCAACTTAGACCGAGTAATAAAAAATGAAAATTTTCTTTACTACATGTAAGACTCTCAAGTCAAACAAATTTGTCTTTAATTATCCCCTAGGTCCCATTTTTTTTCTTTTTATTTGACTTTTTTAAAGTCTTTAATACAACGTTCTAATCATTAATATCTGTATAATTAAATAAATATAGAACAAAAAAGTATAATAATGTATGTAATTTTAATGAATGTAATTTTTTTAATGCATGAGCAAGAATAACTGAGTCTTTTTAATGAATGTAATTTTTTTAATGCATAGTTTTTTCAATTATTTTAAATCATAAATTAATTAAAATTTATCATTTTAAATTTAGAAGATATATATTTAAAATGTAAAAAATGAAGGTTTGAAGCCCAGGGCTTCAAATCCATTTTCACTAAATCTGAGGATAAGTTAGAGCTGACGTGGCAAAGAGAGAAATTTTGAAGCCCGGGACTTCACGGGTATTTCTAGTGCCCTTAGGAGATAATGGGAAATCCGAGAAACGAATGAATGATTTGAGTGGTGACGGTAGTAGGGTTGTTGAAATGGAATATTTCTTTAGTGTTTACTCTATGCCAGTCATTTCGTCTCAATTTAAATTGTTTGATTCGATTTACGATGTTTTACTAAAGTTATTTTAAATTGTGTTATATGAAAAACAACTATAAAATCTACAAAACAATTAGTAATATGATTATATTATTTTATAAAATGACTAACAAAAATAGAATAAAATGTGAATAAAATTTGACTCTAAGAATAGCAAAGAGCCAACTTAATTTAAGACGAAAAAAGTATACACTCACATTTACCTAGAGTGGTGTTCAAATAAAAGTGTTTTAAATTGAATTTACACTGAAATTAGTATCAACAGATGACACTGAAAAATATCGATGCTCTTTTCTCAAAGTTGAAGATTCCTAACTCCCTGATACCCCCAGTCCCGTCTCAAAGTCTTCTCTCACATCCATCAATTAGAGCCCCCAAATTTAATTCACTTTGGGATAAAAAGGAAAACTTCGTAGATTGGAATAAAAATATAAAAATATCAAAATAAGAGTTATGAATCTTTAAGATCAAAATAGAAGTTCATAAAACTTCATATGGTCATTGTTACATTGTCACACTAATCACATTGTCACATTGTAACTACCCTACAATTACCTGTACACTGTCATCCATCGTCGCCGGCCACTAGAATGCTGCCGTAGATTGTTGATGGTTGACTGGTCATATTGATATATTACATTGTTATCAATTTTTACATCACACTACCAATACTTACTCTTACAACACACTAACATTATGCTCATATTTTGGTCTTACGGTCTTGAGACTCCTACTTTGATATTTTCATACTTTTTTTACTCATATTTGAGAATATTTATTAAAAAAATTAACTATAAAACCACTAAACTTGTGATGTGTAATTGATGGAGGTGGGGGATGTGTTCGAGCCGAGGCATTTATGGGATGTTTAACGAGGGAGGGGTACGAACTATCACTTTTGTGATCGGAGGATTTTAAGTGCTCTAAATGGGCGAGTGTCATCCGTTGATACTAGATCACTTTTGTGGTGAAATTTTTTAAATTTCATATAATTCTCAAATAAACTCATAAACCAAAACAGAAAATTTTAGTTTGGGATAGAGTGAGTACCGATTATATTTTTTTCTCGGATTGATTTAACTTAAAATCAACCATAATATTAAAAGTTATTACCACATACAGAGTAAGTCATTCTTGTAGACATTTACAATGATCTAACGGCTAGCTCATCAGATACCACGGTCCAGCTCCTTGATAATTTTTGTTTGTACATTTTCATTCATAATTTGATAAAATAAAATATTCTTATCACTTTCTGTTTTATATAATTTTTTATTTACTTTTAAATGATGTAATTTATAATTTTTATTTTGATTCCAATTTATAAATAATTAAAAATGATGGGATTTTGCACATTGTTTATTTGTTTGAAGTGTGGTATCTAATATGAAATGGAGGAAATATATTATATAATGCACTGATTGTTAGATCATTGTAAATAAGTTTGGCCCAAACCAAAGAAGATATGGACAAATACTCGAGGGTTAAATACTAAATAGAATAGGACCAAAATAGGTCCAATAGTCGACTTGATCCATTAACAAAGGGAAATGTTTGGTTCACAAACATAATGATTAGCATCACAAATTTTCTATTTGTGAACTTCAATGAAAAAAATAAATAGTCTAAAGTGATTTTAAAATGAAATTTCAAACTATAAATAGTAAGTTTATGAATATTCAGTTTGTGAACCTAGCATTGCTCATTAAGAAATGATTAGGCCTACAAACTATCAGACAACTGATAATAGAAGAGGCCTTACTGATTGGATATGCTTGTGCAGTTGTGCTGATAGAGTTAAGTTAAATATATACCTTTAAAATGTAAACAAAAAAAAAGTGGAAAGAAGATCCAACTACCACACAAATATAGAAACCACCCCATCAAACACAAATTTCATCCAAATAAAAATTATTATTAGTATTTTGGACAAATAGTTAATAGTGTATAACTTTAAAAATTGTTACGGTTAAACATTGTCGTTAGATAATCTTTTTAAAATGTTAACGTTTTCAATCACTCTGACCACACTCGTAAGCTGTCATAGAACAACTTTTTGAGTTTCTACTCTGTCCAAAAGTAATTTTATGTGTTTGATAAGTCTATTTCTACTTATGACATACAATTTCAGAGTGCTAGATTAGTTTTAAAAGTGATTTTTGTTAAAAATCAAATTAAATACTTTTGACTTTCGTTATGATTTCTGTTCAAAAAATATCTCATGCCAAACACTTTAAGTATATTACTTAAGCGTATCATCATTAGAGTTGAATATATCTTTAAATGTAAACAAAAATGCTAAAAATTGGAAAGTGGGTTGTGGCTAGAGACGGTGAGATTCAACTACCACATTCAAAGAAAACTACTGACCCGCCAAACACAATTGTCATCCAAACATCATAAATGTGATTAAGGGCAAGGTATTAAATATAGAGAATTAGGGAAAAAAATATTTTTTTACTTGTAATGACCAAAAAAATAAATACTCCGTATAAAGTACTTCAATATAGGATACAAAAAAGTTTGAATAAAATTGAGAAAATCCTTGGCAAATTTGGTGTAGAGCTCATATGATAATACAATTACAAGAGTAATAGTTGTACTCCATTAGAAATAATTTCATACTTCCCTTCCCTTTTTGGCATATTTCAAAATTTAATTTAGATTTAGATATTAAGAACTCGAGAAGGTTCCGTCGTCACTTGACACTGGAGCAGAGTAGTGACACTCCGGTGTTGTATTTTTGAAGTATCTCCGGTGTTCTATTTGTAAAATTGATGGTTCTTATAATCTCCCCTTCCTCTAAAACCCCTATCGCAGCCTCCCACCCCCACTTATTCCTTCCAAATGTGCGACAAGGGTGAGGGACTTAGGTTAGCGGTAAAAATTAATCAATTACGCGAATGAAACATACATAGTGTTTTAAATAGGCAAGTATCATGTATCGACAGTGAATATTAATGTCAACAAGATAACACATTGGACATACTTTTTCTCTCTTCCAGATAAATTTCAAACATAGTTTAATTTTCAGCATTTTTTAAACACTTAACTTGATTTCCGTGAATTCAAAGTATCAAATGCCTAAGATTTTTTCAGAGAGAGTTTATCAAGTGGAACATAAAAGTGCTTGATCGGCCGATGCATGGGCCCATCTTCTTCAAATCTGACGTAAATGACCCTGGCCCCGGGTAAGGCCGTCATGACGTAAATGACCCTGGCGGGTCTCATGTAGTCAGTGAACACAAAGAAGGTGGCACAATAAGGGATGAGCCCTGGGGAGTGTAGGGCAATTATCCCAAACAAGAGGACTCACCGGAGGTGCTTACTCCCAACCAGCAGGAAGTTCGCCAGAGATGATGGCCTTCAAATCTGCAGCTTCTTCTGGATATCTCTTCTCATATTTGCTAAATTTGGCGTTCCATTCAGCTTCAAGTGCTGCACCCTCTGGGACATGGCGGCTCCAATGACTTCACAATGCCACAAAAAAAAAAAAGTTAGGCTCAAACCCAATAAATTAGGCCAACCTCATCCCAAAAGGATGTAAGGTTAGCATGCACTTATTCCTTCTCTCCTACATTTTTCTGTCTCGTTTCTTTCTGGTCTACACGTACTATACCTTTCTTCCACCTTCCTTTTAAAAATGGAAAGACTATTCAACTTTGTATAACTAAAAGACTATTTAATCCTTATTTTTGAACGATTCGCCTTTTTCGTATCTCCCTTCATATTATTACACCATTAATGGAAAAAATTGGAAAGTCAAACATTTTTCATTTTACATGAAAAAGCTTATCAAGTGAAAGTGAGAGAAAGATATGGGACAGAGGGAGCATATATTAGACGTAAACCATGTGGGATACTCAAGACCATATAAGATAGAGAAGTACCTCTTCACATCCTCAGGTACATGGAAAGGCTCAAAGGGGCCATCCCAGTAGTGCACTTCCATGAACTTCTTTAGCTCCCAGTGCACTTCCATGAACACTCCAAGTGTTTGCTTTGTTTGGTGAGCCAAACCCAATGGTTGTTGTCACCTAAATGCATGGAGTTTAGCCTATATATGCTAGGACAACAACGGCAAGAGGACTACTATAGAATCTTGATCATAAAAGATTGAACCTTGATCAAAGTGGGCTTGTCCTTGACAGCCTTTGCTTCCTTAATGGCAGCCCGGATGTCATCATATCCCGAGTTACCGTTCTTTACCCAGATGACATGCCATCCCAGAGCCTCAAACCGAGCGGAAACATCCTCTGTGAAAGCAATTTCAGTATCACCATCAATGGAGATATGGTTGTCATCATAAAAAGCGATTAGTTTTCCAAGTCCCCAGTGCCCAGCAAGGGAACAAGCCTCGTTTGAAATGCCCTCCATCTGGAAGCCATCACCAAAGATGGTATATCTGCACAAGATCAATGTGATTAATCAAAGAAGACAAGTGAGGGCACACAATGATCATAAACACAGAAACCTACACATGCCTTAAGAATGGGGAAGGGAAGGCCAGGTTTTACAAAATCTCTGTTGCTTTAGTTTTAAAACATGTGATGGCTAAGCTTCGTCCTAAATATAGATTAATCTTACCAAAAAAAACTAACAGTTAATCCCGGGTTTACCTTTTTTGTCTCTTAAAAAAACATTGAAAGGAAATATTGCATATGCCTAAGCATTTTCAACAGCCTTGTGCATTTGCTTGGAAGTGAACTCGCTACTGAAATATGCCAATTTTCCAGTGAATTAGCAACAAAAGTATGCATTGCATGATGTTAAAAACAATAGAACATAAACATTTTATTGCAATCGTTTTACTTATTTTACAAAATAGTCATCTTTAACAATATTTTAGCTTCACAAAAAATGGGGTAAATCATAAGAATTTTCTTCACTAAAATTCACTATTTAACCATTGCTTCATTAAAGTTGTGTGTGATTATATAAAATACTCCATAGAAATGATATAAAATCTCATAAATCTTCCAACACACAAACAAAAAGTCAAGAGCAGACCCAGTATAGCCCTAATACTGTTGGAATCTGATATACCAAGATGTATGTAACCTTACCATTGTTTAAACAAACAATAAAAAATGTTGTTTCTGCAATAGTGACGTAGGAATACTAATCAAACAAAAACATTCTAAAAGTAAACATGAAAAATTGACCAGGGTAATCAAACCTTCAAGTGATCAGCAGCCTTATCCTTATCAGGGAGCACTCCAGTAGATTCAACCACAATTTGAGCACCAGCTTCAGCCCATGAAATTTCTTCTGGGTTCCTGAGAAGTCTTCCCAAATAATCATAAACACAAGCACCCAAATCGTGAAAATCCTCCTATCCACAAGTTTATCATTACTCACTTGTACCTCAATCCAAGCACTTTAACAGCCTTCTCTCTAAATAGAAGGGTCTGTCTTTTCATCAAGGACCTTCAATTCATGGTTTTTCCATTTCCCGTGCACAGTATCATACTTGATCATGTATGCCCACTCAAAATCGCATATGGATATTACAATCGAGCAGATCTAATGTATTACACATTAATCCATCCGATAACAAACTTCTAGATTGCCCAAGAAATGAAGAAAATTTAAGCAAAACTACAAAAAAAAATGAACATACCGTGCAATTAGTGCTGGTGAACGGATCATTGACTCGGTTCTTTAAAATTTCCAAATTTGAAGACTTCCAAACCGCCATGGATTTTAATCTTGTTGTCAATCGCCCTTCTAATATTGACGGCCAGATTTTGTCGACTAAGATGAAGTTGGTCCGTCCGATCCTTTAATTTTGGAGTTTTATATTCTATCATACGGAGAAGAATTTAGTATGACTAGTGTAACCCCGTGCTAGCTCGCATACATTCTAAACTTTTGACATTTTATAAATATAATTTTATTTATTTTAAATGAACATTTTTTCACTCTAAGATATACGGAGTATATTTTTTAAATAAAAAGTATACTTTAAATATTGATATGCATGCACTAAAAATTCTATAACTATTTTATCAAAAAAAAGTTACATTAAATAAAATATAAAAACACCAAAAACAATTTAATATCTTTGGAGGTAAAATGTTTTTTCAACTTTTGAAAGTGAAATATTTTTAAATTAATAATTAAGAGTCTTATATGCATACTTTTTTTTAAATTTTGCAATCAATATGCATGTTTAAAATACTAAGTATATTTTACAATAATGAAATATACATTTATAAAGTCGTTAGAAAATGTTAAAGTCTTATACAAAATATAATTAAAGTAGTGTTTATTTATGCTAAAAAAATAACATTTATTTAATATAATACAATAAAATTTATTAAAATATTTTTAAAAAGAAGCTTAAAGAACCAATGAAATTTCTCCATATCATAATTAGTGTACATGTGAATGCACATGTGGCATGCCACATGTCAATACCACAACTAAGAAACTCAACCTTACATATATACTAGTACTCCCACCCGTTCGGACGAATATATTGTCGATTCTGAATTTATTCAATGCACTATTTTTTTCCGGAATAAAGAAAATATACCCCATGCATGATTTATAATAACACTGAAAAGAAAGGCAAAGTAAAAAGAATAATATTTGAGGAATTGAATCTACACACAACAAAGTTTGCTTTAATACCAAATATTTTGAAAGATTTAAGGGTATACAACATTTTTTGTATGGCTGCAAGGATTTCCATTGTCATCTAAGACTAATATTTGTAATCCTGTCTTTGTCTTCACTTGCGAAATAGCAACATAAAGCTTATTATGAGTGAACACTGACTTGATTAAAAATAAGCCAACAAATGACAATGTTTGACCTTGACTTTTGTTAATAGTCATAGTAAAACATAAGACTATTGGAAATTATCTTCTCTGGAACTTTAGAGGTAGTCCTGGATCAGACGGTACCAAATTCATCCGAAGTATGTAAACTTTTTTGCCAACTCGATTTCCCGAAACCACAATAGCACCAATAACATTCTTTCGCATCTCGTCAACAATTAATCTTGTACCAATACACAATCCATAGGAGATTTGTTGGCCTTAAAATCACAGAGCAGACCGTCAATCTACACATCAATGACTCTTGAATTCTTATTTTGTGTGTTGATATTGATTTGGGTGATTATTTGTATTTATATTTCTTATCATTTCAGGTAGGGAAATGCTTGATTCACAAACACAATCATCACAAAAATCACAAATTTACTATTTGTGAACTTTGATAAAAAAATTTAAATGGTTTAAAATAATTTTAAATTGAGAATTTAAATCATAAATAGTAAGTTTGTGGAAATTGTGATCATTCTGTTTGTGAACGTAGCATTGCTCTTTCAGGTATTAGTTATAAAAAATAAATAGATTATGATGTGATTTGTTTTTTCAATACTTAAGGACTGGAGAAACTTCAAGAGACTATAAAAATTAAACTCCACACCATAAGATTTGTTTAAAAAACAGGAGGCTATAAATCTGAAATTAAGGTTTGAAAAATAAGGAAAGACTCAAGTCGTCAATACTTTAATAAAAAAATACTCCCTCCGTCCCATAAAACATGGGATATTTTGCTTTTTGAAGAGATTTAAGGGAGTGTATTTTGGTATTGAATTTCCAAAAATGTCCTTTGATGTGATGGGTAAAAGTAGAATTTGATGGGTAGATTATTAGTAAAAAGGTATGATGTGATAGGTAGGGTATGAAAAAGTAAGGGGTAAAAGTGACTTTTTAATAGAAATGAGAAGTGTTTTATGGGACGGATGAAAAAAGAAAGGAGAAAGGTTTTATGGGACGGAGGGAGTATGTTTTTATGGTGCTGAGAATAGAAGATTCAAGGACAGCAGACTTATTACACTTTAAGAACGGAAGAGTTATTATTACATAAATTATAAGAATTTCTTCTTAGGCACTATTAAAAAAAAATTAGTCTCATGGTTTTAGGCACTGGAGAAACATCAACATGAATAGGCACTAAAAAAACTAAACAGACTATAGTGTGTTTTGTTTTTTAATATTTAGAATCAGAACAGACTATAATGTGTTTTGTTTTTTCAATACTTTGAATCTGAAATCTTACAGCATTCGAAGATGAATATCGCAGGGAGGTGCAATCAAAGGAAAGTGCCGCTGATGTCTCGCTTCATTCAGACTTGTGGATGAATTCCACATAGAGTAGCCCAAATAAAAGAAGCCCAAAGTAATGAATCATTATCCAACCCGTTTGAAATATTGAGTAAGTCCAATATGATGACATGGCTTATGTAGTGTCAAAAAAATCTCCGTCAGCATGACAAATGTCAAAATTCTAGGAGTTAAACTCCCAAATATAATATATAAAGGATAAAGGATATATACGTGTGTGTGTGTGTGATAGGATATAGGATAAGATAGAATATATATGATATATATGATATAGGATATAGGATTCGTGCATGATGCAACAATAAGTAAAGCGTGACACTTTCTCAATTGAAACAGTACTCATTCGTAAAATTAATATTCCTTTGGGTATTTTTCATTTTAAATTTTTTAAATTAAAAATGATATTCTTTGATCACAAATTAAATATAACTTAAATAAATAAATGATACTAGTATAAAATATATAAAAACTACTCCCTCCGTCTCAGAATATTCTTCTACTTATACCTTTTTTTATAAAAATTGATAAACTTTGATTTAAAATTAATTAAAAATAATATCACCTTTATCCCTGAGTATTTGTCAAGTTTTGACTTTTTTGATTAACCGTTTTCAACTTTTGACTTATAATTAAATAAATTATATATTATGTATTAATTAGATAAAATCATATTTTTCAAATATTTGATATTATAAATGCAATAAAACTATTTTTGTATCAATATTTAATATCATTTTTATTTAATTTGAGGTCAAATTTTACTAATTTTGACCAAAAAAATCAAAAGTGGATAAACACTCAGACACAGAGGGAGAATTAGCTATTGATACAAATGTAGTTTTATAAGATTTACTATAAGAAATATTTTTAAAATATGAATTTATTTAATTCATATACAATATACCCCTTTATTTCCTCCTTTTTTTGCAATTCCCTAAAAAATTTTCTTTTTCTATTAAAAAACCACTTTTACCCCTATTTTTCCATATACTACATATCATATTATACTTTTTCAATAATAACCAAACAATCACATCTTATTTTTACCCATCGTATTAGAGGCGAAATTGGAAAGTCAATCAAAATTACATTTTCTTTAATTTGGCTAAAAATCAAAACATGAACCTTTTAAGGGAACAAAGGGAGTATATTTTATTAAATTATAAATCAAAGGTTAAAAATAGTAGATTGAAAAGCGACAAAATTGGACAAATACTTCGGCACGGAGGTAATATCTCCTAAGATGAACAAAATTACAATGAATTTATATTATTATTAAATATATTTTTCTCATAACATTATGGTCAAAGAATCAATGTTTGACTTAAAAGAAGTCAAAAAATAAAGATTTTTTGGTCGAGAAGGAATAATCTTTACCCCTAGTTGACTTTCCAGCCAATCCTGACCCCCAACAAATTCCTCTTTTCAAGTCAATTACGAGATAGAAGTTTAGGCTACATTCCGTTCGCATTGTTTGATCTGTTATGATTTTTTGAACTTTTGATTTGATCTGGACTTGGATCTGATTAGATTAAATAGTATCTGATCTAATTTGATTGAATCTGATCCTGATCAAACTGAATCTTATCTGATCTAATTTAATTAAATCTAATATGATCTCATCCAATTTTAATAAAAATAAATAATAAGTAAAAAAAGTAAATTGAACCAAACGCTGCCTTTGTTGAGTTCATTTGGAGAGTGCTTTTGAGTTTTGATTTCGTACACCCTTTGGTCCAGTAGAAGATGCACTTTTTTTAGGCGTATTTAGGCTCAGGCAATGAGAAATGACCAATAATGGTCCAATCCCACACAATACCAAATGTAGCCCAAGTTATAAAAAAAGCATCAAGAAGTGCTGGCCCAAGAATGCAAATATGCCCATCGAAAAATACAACACCAAATTTGGTCAAATTCATTGTGTATACTGGACTTTATAACTCTTCTTTCCATGTTAGACCGATATGTGATCAGGCCCAATCATAAAATATCCTAATAAATTCTATTATTAAAGTTGACAAAGAAAAACAAATCTCAAATTAAAATTCCTAATTTCTTTTTTTAACGGCCAAAAATTTTAAAGTATTTCTATATTTAGTTTAATATTACGTTTAAACCGGAAATTCAAAACAAAAAACATGGTAAGAAAACAAAAACAAATAGTGAAATTTGCACTAAATAAGACTAAAACATAAGTCATTTCTCAATATAAGTCTTTAATTTTTTTATTCCCTAAATAAGATTTAATAATGACTAATGAGAATAATAATGTCCAATTGATGCTAGACATTTAGTTGAATAATGACTAATTCATAATGATCAAAAATCCTACATTGGGAAATAAAAATATATGATTCTATATTGAAAAACACATTATGTTTTAGTTCTGTTTAGGTAAATTTCTCAAAAAATCAAACATACCATTATTACATGTCTGGAGAAATACTACGTACAATATTAATTTCTATTGACTTTTCTCTACTCCTATTATCTACGTGCATTTAATGTTTGCAATACGAGTAAAAAAATTCTTAACGATTTTAGGGCAATACTTTTAATGTTCAAAAAATAGAAATCTCTTCCTTTTGTATTCAAAAGTATATCACCCGTTATAATAGAGAGTAATAATAATTAAGTAAATTTCATAATTGATCTTTTATAATAGAGAGTTTCCGTATTTAATTCTTTATTATCAAATATTACTCCTGTGGTATTTTTTATATGAGTATTTTTCCAAAATAATTTTTTTAATATCTTATCTTATTGGTGTTAATTTGAGAGTTTAAAGTGTAATTTTACAGTGATAAAATGTGTTTCTTCTCATACATAATTCCAAAGTCACTCATAATGCATCATTTGTGAATTACAATCGCATTCTACTACAATCACAATCTCCAGATGTGACTTTTAATCAGAACTTATAGCTAGCACACAGTTATAATTATTATTTTTGTGTTATTTATCTAACCAATATCAGAATATGTTATTGGACATAAGGTTAACGTCAAATAACATTTTTAGTCTTTACATTAATGCATACACATTAGAAGATAAAAATAACTATTTGTAAAGGAATACCTATAAAAGAAAAACTATAGGAGTAATGTTTTAATAGTAAACGACTAAATATAGAAACCCCTTATTATAAATAATCAATTATAGAATTTACTCAATAATAATTAGACCAAAGGTGTTTCAACTCCAATCTTTCATGTTTTATACTCTTCATATCTATTATATACCTAGAGTATATAAAAAACAATCAAGTTTGTCAAGTTTTGACTTTTTTCGATCAACTACTTTAAGGGACTGTTTGGCAACTTCTGAA